CCCCAAAACCCCAAAACCCCAAAACCCCAAAACCCCACTCCTCTGGCTCACAATTGAAATTACTCATAAAGTAGTCATCCTCCCTATTCTTCTTCATAAATAATTAAGTGTTCAGCATAGCACAAGTAAACTTTGAGTTTAGCCATTTCTACTTCTGTGAAACCATTGTTCTTCAAAGCAATGCTGCTGATGCCTCCGTTGATTTCTGAGGGAGGCTCTCCGAGGTATTTGGCTGAAGGCAGCCCTTCGATGTTGAGTAAGAGGCCTATTTGGTCTGCTTTGTCGATATTTTTGGGGTCTTTTTCAAGGATTGATGGGTCTTTTAGCTCTGGGGGATTTGGGAATGTTCATGCATCAAATGAAATTCCATAAAGAGGCCTCATTTTATTATCAGGTGTGATGAATTCAAGGTGTTTAACTGATTCCTCTAGGATTTCTGGGAGAGAACATTCGACAAAAACTAATTTTAAAAGTTGGGTCTGTATAGACGTTTTGAGTAGCTCGATTAAGCATTCATAATTATTTGAAAAATCAAAATTTTCAAAAGTAATTTCAAATGGCTTAATAGATTTATATCCACTACTTTCTACATGTTTCATGTCTTCTTTGCTTCCTTCTTTAGCCTCTTCTTTATTTTCTTCTTTAACCTCTTCTTTATCTTCGTCAATATCTTCTTTGGTTTCTTCCTTACTTTCTTCTTTACTGTCGATATCTTTCTCATCCTCATTGCTTTGATTAAGGTTGCTCTTTTCCTTTAGCCCTGTCACTTCCAACAACTTGATAACTGCTTCAGGTACTTGTTCTAAATGATCATGCAGGACTCTATGCTGTCTCAAGGAATGCTGGCCTTCAACCTTAATGACCCAGTCTTCACAAGCTGGATCAAAATTCTTTAGGACTAGAAAGAATGTTAGAATAAAAGAGGTTTGATACAACTAGAAATTAAGGCGAATAGGGCAGAGTAAATGTAAGAAGATTATACTTGTTATGGATCTCAAGAACTTTATACATTAATACATCATTCGGAAAAGTGCACCAATAAAACCACCTCAACTAACCTGTCGAACAAAAGGGGCCTTCAGTCAGGTACAAGATCTGGTTTGCAACTTCTGACTTGGAGTCTTCTTCCATCACTTTTAAAGCAGACTCAGTGAGGGTATCTATATGGGCTTTTAATGTGGCAATGGTGCTGGATAGAGGAAGGAGTGGAGGGTGGCTCTGAGGGTCCTTGAGGGTGAGCTATGAAGCGATTAGGAAGGCAAGGAGTATTGGGGGAATAGAGAAGATACTTACTATTTCTAATCTATCTATGATTTCCTCAATCGAAGTAGGCCTTGTTAGTATTACCCTCTCAACCTCCTTCTCCAACTCCACATACTTCTGCTCAATCTTCCTACCAATCTCTTCAACTGTCTCACTTTGTCCCTTCCTCTCTTCTTCAGATTCCTCATTCTCAACTAATCCTTTCATTTCCCTGACATCCCTACTTAGCACAGCCAGTTCCTGCTGTTTTTCTATCAGTATTTTCTCGAGATGGTCAAGGTCTCCCTGTAAGGCAGCAATTTCTTGGTCCATTTCTTTAAGAGTTTTTGTAGAGAAGTCAGCAGTAGAAGGAGGCGGATTGGAAGAGAGAGAAGTGTAGTGAGAGATGAGGGTGGAGTAGAGGGTGATGTGGTCTTGTTGTTGGATGAGGTAGGAATCTAGGGTAGAGGAGATTTCAGAGAGGATTGCTTCGCGGTGATTAGGGTCTGTGGATGAGTGGAAAGTTGTGATTTCAGGGGCTAGGTTGTGTTCTGGGGCTATTTTGGAGATTTCTTGGAGGAGAAAAGCCATTTCTGTATTCTGAGAGGCAATTTCTAAAAGAGTTAAAGTTGTTTGGTAGGGATTAAAATTTATTTTGCATTGTGAATAAATAAGTTTAACTGTATGTGAAAGATTTTTACTATCAGCAATTTCGAAGGATCTTTAACTTTAAACCTGTGATGATTCTAATTCATATTTTTAAGAAAGTAAAATGGAAAAATCTTTAAAAAATTGAGATATAAGCTGTCGTAAGTAATTATTCATGAACTGAAGTCTCAAAGTATAAAGTATCTCTAGATATCTTACTCTTCTTTTCCTCTTGTTGCTTCTGCTTTTCTTCTGCTATCCTGGCAAATTCAGCTAATCTCTCTTTATCTTTCTTTTCTTCAGCTTCTTTCCTTCTTTTCGCTTCTATTTTCCTGTTCTGTTCCTTTGTCTTTCTTTCCCTTTCCTTTTCCTGCTGGTCTTCTTTATATTTGTTGTCAAATTCAGCCTCATACTCATTTGATTGTGGTGGAGAATGTCCTGTTTGTAGTCCTGATAATTGAAAATGTGTTAAAGCGGTGAAATTGAGGTAATCGGATAGAAAATTTGAAGAAATAGAATTAAAGTGAAAAATTTGATTAGGGAGGAACAAATAAAAAGGATTTGGATTCAAAGGTATGTGGCTTTATGAGTTTTAGATTTTGATAGTTATTAGCTTGTATTAGATGATAATTTCGTTTTATGGATATAACTTTTATTTAAAAAGCCATAGATTTCATCTATTTACCAAAATCTAATTTACTTACTCTAAATTTTAACCTAAATTATTGAGATAATCCAACTAATTTCATTGACTTAAATTTACTCAACTAGTTTTTCAAATTTTTAGAACGTATCATACCTTTACGTTGAACTAAACTATCTCCTGAATCTTCTCCGTTTGAATTTTCTAAAACTTTATCAAAATTAATACTCCGTATTATTGGATTTTCAATATCATTTCTCTTTTTAAAATTCTCATCCTCATTCTCATTTTCATCATTAAGTCTAAAATATATTTAAAAAAATCACTTCTGGTACCAATTTCCTTCAAAACCATTTTCCATTCCTTTCTCATTATCTATATCCATATTAATATCTCTTAATATACCAATAAATAGACCATTCTCAGTAGACAAAGAATAAATATAAAATTTATCTACCTTGTTCCCCACCTTGCATTTCTGAACTTACAGGAACACCAGAATATCCATCAAGAAAAATATCTTGAAGTTCATTTTCTACAATTTCTCCAATAAATCCCACATCCCACCACCAAAAGTCCAACCCCCTCAAAAATCCCCCTTTTCCCTCTAACCTTACCACTGTCATCCCCCTCACGTCTATTCCTGCCTATAAATCTCACTCAGCCTAGTCCCACCAACCCACAAAATAAGAATCAAATGTGTACTAGTTGTTGAAGCCTACCTTTATTTCTGCAGCAGTAGCAGCACAAGATGTACAGGAAGAGGTCCCAAATAGCTTGGCATCATCATCAAATACATCAGGGACAGCACCCTCAGCAACCTTTGTCATTTGACGCCATTTTATTTATTATAAAATCCTATTTTAATGACGTCTTTAGGGGTTTTGGGGTTTTGGGGTTTTGGGGTTTTGGGG